GCCACTCCTCGGAAGGAAGGTTGGGCAATCCTACTTCCGTAGTGATACTGCCTCGGAAACCCAAGGAGGGGTCTCTATGAGTCAGGGCCAACTCGACGGCAAACAACAACAACTTGAGGCTGAAATAGCCAAGGAAGGCTCTGCCCCCAGAGCCACACCCTGAATTCAGAATTCTAGCTTCCTGAATGCCAGAAAATAAATTCTATTCTTTAAAGCCACACACATGTGATTTTTTGTTTGTTACAGCAGCCGTAGGAAAAAACTAAGACATAATCTTAGAAGATGCAAATAGTCTACTTAGAAATGAACCAGCTTCTTATCCCTATCCCTAGTGCTTGGACAGACAGCAGGAGCTTAGTGAAGGTTTGCTTAACGAAAGGAAAACCAGGGCATTTGAAAAATTACTTTGCTGGGAGTGGGAGGAAAAGGGTTGTAGGACTTTCACATTTTTGTCAATTGTTTGTCATTTCCTTTCCTTGAGCCCCATACTCCACATAACCATTGTAACTGCAACAAACCTCAGTCAGCCGAAAAATAAGGACACACTTGATCACATGCACTCCACCAAGCTGCTCTTTCGTTTTAAGGGACAGCATGAAATATCAGGCAGATGTGGGTTTACAATGTGGCACTTGCCAGAATTTTATATGGGAACCAGAGTTTGAAAACTGAGTCACTCTCTATACAGAGAGTTGGTTCAACACTTTAATGAAAACTTGCAGCTCCTTGGTATCACAGGGGCCTGGCTTGCACAGCTAATTGGATGTGACCCGCAGTCTTGGTGCTATACCATCAGTCTGCAGACTTTGGGAAAAAGTTGGTCTTGAAAAGAAAGGACCCCAAAGCAGGGCCTCACAGGCCCCTTGAGACTCTGCTTATCACACGGGGAAAGCCAAGTAGTTATTGTTGGCTGCTGTTGAGTCAGCCCCCCTCACTCATGGTAACCCCAAGAACAACAGAATAAATGCTCGGAGACCTGCACCATGCCCATTGGTCAGTTGCAAATCAAACCGTTTTGATTCATAGGCTTTTAATTAAGGATCTAGCATAGAGTGCCCTTCAACATTTTCACATTCTGAGTGCTCAAACCTTACCCTGAGTGTAAGCACTTTCTCTTTATGTTCTTTTTTTCCCTTCAAGCCTGTAAATAGAAGGTCGTCTCTTTGGTTCAACCCTAAACAAGATGACAAGAGAAGGGCAGGCACAGGGAAGCCTGAACCCATTTTTGCTTTACTGTGTACCAGTTTTATACCTTAAGAAAGTATCTTTGGACTTCTGGCACATCTCAGGTTTTTTTTAAAAGAGCGAGAAATAAATAGGATTGAAAACCCCTCACTTGTCTGAAGGGCAGTGGGGCTGGATCCAGGCTCTATCTATGAATTATTGAATCAAAACTTTGTCCAAAGACCCAGAGCAGTGGCTGGGACATGCATGGGAGGGGCCTGCAGGTGGTCCGTGTTCAGCTAGTAACATGAGTGTGCTTTTTACCAATTGTCTTCACAGGAGCCATCACCTTCCTGCGTTCTCTCCTAGAACCAGATCCTGTAAAGAGGCCAAATATTCAGCAAGCACTGGCGAATCGCTGGCTTAATGAGAATTACACAGGCAAAGTGCCGTGTAATGTCACCTACCCCAACAGGTAACTCAGTGCACACCGAGCGACCCCTTCTCACAAGGGGTGGGGCCCGGTCTACAAGCCCTAGATATTTCTGGGCAAGACGCAGCACAAGATTCAGAGAAAAGCCGCATTTTCTCTTTGATGTTCTGAACCCCTCGCACCCACACACCTACAGACAAGCCGCTCTCTGTCCACAAGAGGCAGTAGAGTGAGCTTGATGTATGGCACCCGCAGCGGAACAAGCCTGCTGTGGAGAGGCCACATCCTGCTGAGAGATACCTCTTTCTTTTTCTTTTTTTTGACAATATATTTGAATTTTTTAAAAATTTTTATTGTGATTTGGGTGAAAGTTTACAGAGCAAATTCATTTTCCATACAGCAGCTCACATACACATTGTCTCTTGACATTGAGTGCAATTTTCCACAATGCAACAGCTCCCCTCTACATTTCCTCCCTATAGTTAACCTCTTCCCTGTGTCCTTCCCTCCATGCACTCCTGCCCCCCCACCAGCTGTCTCCCTGTGCATACACAGCCCTTCTATTCTCCCATGATTGATCTCTCCAAGGAGTGTATCTACCTAATGTAAATGTTTAGCTCATATGCCTGTCTTTTGTTTTTGAATAATATTTTATTGTGTTTTCAGTGAAAGTTTACATAGCAAATTAAGTTATAATTGAACAATTTCTGCACAAATTGTTCAGTGACATTGGTTACATTTTTTACAATATGTCAACATTGTCATTATTTCTATTCTGGTCGATCTGTTTGCAATAATCTAGTTTCCCTGCCCCCTTTCCATTTTAGCTTTGCTTTAGAGTAATTGCTGGCCATTTGGTCTCATACAGATGATTTTTCAAAGGAGCTCAGTACTCATTGGTGATATTGTTTATTTCATGAGCCTGTCCATTTTTTAGCTAAAAGATGACCTAGGGGATAATTGCAGTTCAAGGTTTAAAGAGTATCTCAGAGTGATAGTGTCAAGAAGTCTTCTGGTCCCAACCAGTTCAGTATTTCTGGACTTTTTAAGAATTTGGGTTCTGTTCCATTTTTCTCCCATTCTATGGGACACTTTTTTCTAATTCACAGAAAGGAGCTATATAGAGTAGCTGGAGCTTGAGTGTATGTGTGTGTGTGTGTGTGTGCACATGTGCATTTGTGTTTGTGTGTACAAATGTATGTTCATGTATGTCTGTGAATGTGGCTATGTGTATGTATATCTGTGTAGAATATATGTATTTCTGTCTGAATGTGTATTTGTGTCTATGTGTTTCTCTGTCTTTGTGTGTGAATGTATGTCTTTGTGTGCCTATACCTGTCTGCTAATATGTGTCTGTGTGTCCGAGTATGTGTCTCTGATGAGTGTAATCCACTAATAATCCTACTGCCAAAACCTGGTGGAATTGCTCCTCTCTATTTTCAAACCAGCCCCTTAGGCTCCTCTTTTGCCACTTCTTTGTTCTTGTTTTTATTTTAGCACAATGTCCTGCCTTAAAATGTTGGGGGTGGGAAGAAAAGGCAACAGGAGTCTTTTGGTTTAGGCCCTGTGTCTCTGTGGAATCCCTGTGAAGCCTTTGCTTTTTCCATTTCCGTGAGGAGGACTCTTTACAGATGTCTTCCAGACAGGAATCCATAGCATAAAACACTCACCAACAAATCATGGGGGACCCCACTTCTCCAGGCTGGGATGCTGATGACAGGTTTAAAACAATACGAGAACACACTTCTTTATAACTTTTCCTACTCATTTGACACATTGCTAACTACCTTGAGTGAGGGAATGAGGTGATAATTCAGAGGTAGAATTCTCACCTTCTATGCAGGAGACTCATGTTTGCTTCCCAGCCAATGGCTGTCATGCACAGCCACCACTCGTCTGTCACTGGAGGCTTGTATGTTGCTGTGATGCTGAACAGGTTTCAGCAGAGCTTCCAGAGTGAGATAGACTGAGAAGAAAGGCAGACCAGGCAGCATTTCGTTCTGTTGTGCATGGGGTTGCAAAGATTCAGGGCCATGAATGGTAGCTAAAAAAGCCTTGGTTACTTTAGTGCAAACGTGTAGACAACATTGGTCAAATATATTTCCAGGACTGGAACCACCTTGCATCCTTCTTCCTTCCATGTAGGAGTATCCCACACCTTTGATCAAGTATGGATGAGGACTAGAGAAGCAAAGAACGTGGGGGGCTGGAAGGGAAGAGGATGGGGTGTTGTCCTCCATGGCCATATTTTCAAATGCCAGGGGAGGTGTGGAAATATCCACCAAGCACTACGAGAGCCAGAGTGCTAAGTCCTCCAGATAAGAGGAGCAGGCAGGGCTTTCGTTTTAGGGAGGAACACGGGGTTGATTGGACATTCCTGGGGTCTTTGTCCACACTACTGGGACACATCACACAGTTCATAGGCCATAGAGGAGGTGGGGTCGTTGAGGTGCCATTTAGAATTCTAGCATTTGGTTCATGGGAGGTAATTTAAACAAAATCTAGATTACTCAGGTTACCAAGGGAACCTGGAGATAGATTGCTGTTTTCCAACACCAGCTCAATTTGGGCCAGTATCTGAAATAGACACCAGAAATATTACCCCAACATAAGCTGGAAAGTAAAGCTGAAGGGCCATGCCTCATTACCAGTGTTCATAATAGATAGCAGTGAACAGGTACTTCCTGTTAAAAGAGGGGCAGCAGTGGCGGCCAGATGAGTCATTAAGCTAATGTAATCACCGTCTAAATGAGCATAATCAATCCACTCAAAGCAGCAGCTGTTGAAGGAAGTGAAGCTGGGATTAGAAATACGGTGCCCCCTCCATGTCAGCTGCATCTTCATTCATAAGAAACGTGACGTGGCATCTCATCTTGTAACTTTTCTGCAAATTGTAGACAAGCATTTGTAGATTAAAAGTTTTAAATCCAGGCATTCTCTACTGGGGTGATGGGTTGAATTGTGTCCCTATAAGGTATGTTGAAGTTATACCTCAGGTACCTGTGAATGTGACATTGTTTAGAAATAGGCTTTTCAAAGATGTTATCAGTTAGGTCATACTGCAGTAGGGTGGGTCCTAATCCAATATGATTGATGTCTTTATAAGAAAGGAGAGACACAGATACGGAGAGATGGTAGCTGGGAAGGTAGCCGTGGGAAGACAGAGGCAGACTTCAGGGTGATGTATCTACAAATCAAGGAAAAGCAAGGATTGCTGACAACTATCAGAAGTTAGGAGGAGGCAAGAAGGATCCTCCTCTAGAGGCCTCATGGAGAGTACAGGCCCGTTGACACCTTGATTTTAGATTTCTAGCCTTGAGATGTGAGACAATAAATTTCTGTTGTTTTAAGCCACCTGGTTTGTGGTATAGTCATCCCTTGGTATCTAAGGCGGATTAGTTCCAGCCACTGTCCTCACACACACATATTTTTGGTTGCTCAAGCTTATATAAAATTGGTGTAGTGTTTGCATGTAACTTACATACATCCCCCTGTGTACTTTAAATCATCTCTGTTGTTGTTGTTATGTGCCGTCCAGTCAAACCCGACTCATAGCGACCCCTCCTTGGGCTTCCGAGGCAGTATCACTACGGAAGTAGGATTGCCCAACCTTCCTTCCGAGGAGTGGCTGGTGGGTTTGAACCGCCAGCCGTCTGGTTAGCAGGCAAGTGTCTTAGCCACTATGCTACCAGAGCTCCCAAGAGAAGAGAGAGAAATCATCTCTAGATTACTTATAATCCTAATACAATGTAAATAGCATTTTATGCTCCCACTTAGCCTTTGAGGGATTGCTTTGACCACTTAATTACTATTAGTTTGTGTGAAAGTGTGTGTCACTGCTGTTCAGTCAGTTCCTACTCATAGTAACCCATCGTCCTTGGGTTTCCAAGGTGGTATGTCTACGGAAGTAGATTGCCCAGTCTTCCTTCTTAGGAGTGGCTGGTGGGTTTGAACCACCAGCTTTCTGGTTAGCAGTCAAATGCCTTAGGCATTACAACACCAGAGCTCCTTAATTAATATTTAGGAGTCTTTTTTCCCCCTGAACATTTGTGATCCTGTGGTTGGCTGAATCCGTGAATGCAGAACCTGCAGATGTGGAGGGTCAACTTTACTTTGTTACGGCAGTCCTAGGAAACAACACAACTGCTTTTGCCAGATTGGTAATTTTTGCATTTGACTTGGTCAAAAACATTAAAGTTAGACATGTAACTAGTTAGGTTGATTGTCAAGATGGATAAAATTCATATACTGAAGAAAACAGGAGTTCATTGTCTTTTTTTTTTTTTTTATGAAAATCCATTAATCACTTTCTACTAGCAGCAAGTTAACATTCAGTTTTTAAGTAATTAAATCTGTACTGTTGGAGAAGGCACATGTTATTCACCATCTTTATTTCGAAAAACATTTATCTTTAAGGCAAAAGTAAAATGAATTTTTGATAATTAATTTTCTGTTTTTACTTGTTGTTATGTGCCATTGACTTGTGTCTGACTCATAGTGACCCTATGTACAACAGAACGAAACATTGCCCGGTCCTGTGCCAGCCTCACAATCCCTACTATACCTGAGCCCATCACTGCAGCCACTGTGTCAATCCATTTTGTTGAGGGCCTTCCCCTCTTTCGTTGACCCTCCACTTTGCCAAGCATGACATCCTTCTCCAGGGAATGGTCCCTTCTGACAACATGACTAAAGTAGGTGAGACGAAGTCTGGCCGTTCTTGCTTCCAAGGAGCATTCTGGCTGCACTTCCTCCAAGACAGATCTGTTAGTTCTTTTAGCAGTCCATGATACTTTCGGCATTCTTTGCCAGCTCTGCAACTCAAAAGCATCAACTCTTCTTCGATCTTCCTTATTCATTGTCCAGCTCTCACATGTATGAGGAAATTGAAAATACGATGGCTTGGGGTAGGCATATCTTAGTTTTCAGGGAGTTATCTTTGCTCTTCAGCACTTGAAAGAGGTCTTTTGTACATAGATAAAAGGAGTAAGAACATGTCCACTAACAAGCATAAGCAAAAATGAGGGACATGGTGGGTATCTCCCACCCTTGTTGCTAATAATCTCATTGCCAGCTGCTCCCATGTCACTCTCTCATCTTCACCCAACTGGGCCTGGATGGTGGGTGCAGGCCACAAGTACAGGAGTCCAGAACAACTGGCCCCAAACCATAGTTTTCCTCCAACCCTTCTAAATCTGGGAGTTCACACAATACCCATACTTGTGACCTGAGGGCTTCCCTTTCCCGATAATATGCTGGAATGACTTACAGAACTCACAAAGCAGAGTGCATACTTGTCGGGTGCTTTTGAGTTGATTCCAACTCATAGCAACCCCATGTGACAGAGTAGAACTATCCCATAGGGTTTTCTTTGCTGTAATCTTGCCAGATTGCCAAGTTTTTCTCCTGTGGGAGTGGCTGGTGTGTTCAAACCACCAGCCTTTCAGTTAACAGCCAAGTGCTTAACCAGCAGAGCTCCTTGGTATGTATACTATAGCTACTTGGCTCTGGTAGTACATTGGTTGAGCGTTTGGCTACTAACCCGAAGGTCAGCAGTTCCAAACGTGCCAGCTGCTCCATGGGAGAAAGATATGGCAGTCTGTGTTCATAAAGATTTACAGCCTTGGAAACCCTATGGGGTAATTGTATTCTGTCCTGTAGGATCACTATGAGTCAGAATAGACTTGATGGCAGTGGGTCTGAGGTCTGAGGGTCATTCTAACCAGAAAGGATACAAATGAAGAGATACATAAAGCAGGGCCTGGGAGGAGACCCAATGCAGAGCTTCCATGCCCTCAGAAAACGAGCTTAGCCTCCCCAGAGCAGAATGTTTGCTCTCTCCAACCCAGAAGCTCTACTGACACCCATCTTCCAGTGCTTTTATTGCCCACACCACGTGGCTGTGATCAATTACATCATGCCTCCTGAGGCTTGGTTGGTATCAGGTCCCCAGGTGAGCCCTCTTGGTCTGTTCAGCCTCTACTCATGGGCCTCAGGGGTGGTCCAGTGTTCAGGAACCAAGACTAAAGGCTAAATGAAGGAGGTTCCACATCTCACTATTCAACATATGACCCAAGAAGGGCATAAAAAGTATATATTTTAGTTTCATAACAAAATGAGCCCCAGATTTAATTATTTTAGGTATTTGTTAATACTTTCTTCTTAGGAAAGTAAATAAAGGTCTTGTGTTTTACATCACTCTCTTTAAAACTTCTACTAAATTGTTTGGACCTGCATACCATCAGAGTTCCTAATCTCCAAAAGGCAACAGGAAAATGTCTTTAAAAACATTTTTTTTAAATAATAAATATTCATGTCCATCAGTCAGTAGATGTTTGCCATGTGCCCAGTTCAATGCCGTGTTCTGAGAACAGGCATTTTTATTGACACTCCTTGACTGTCTCCTCCTTGGCTCCCATCTAGTGATGGGTGCAGAAGAAAGGAGGTTGTAGGTAACACATGACAGACCAAAGTGATATAAAAATGGGTTTAATGTGAATTTACCTAGTTAAGATTATACACCTACTGTTCTGGAACATTTTACTATTTTGTAAAACACAAAAATAATATAAATTCAGTAACTAGGGAGTACCAGACAATGAAATTGCTCATTGAAAAAACATTTAAACTATTATTATTAAGTTGATTCAGACTCATGGAGACCCCATGTATGTCAGGGTAGAACTGTGCTCCATAGGATTTTCAATCATAGGCTGATTTTTTGGAAATAGATTGCCAAATCTTTCCTTCGAGGTACCTCTGGGTGGATTCAAACCTCCAGCCTTTGGGTTAGTTGAGCATGTTAACTGTTTGCAGCACCCAAGGTCTCCTTTACTCTTGTCAAAACAGTCCATTGACATTCTGAATTTTGCCAGGGATCTCTGATTTTTGAAGACAACCAATCAATCTAAAGGGCAGAGAAGGGGTCTCTGCGCCTGCTTACTTCCCTCCTCTTACTTACATCTCTGTAGCCCCAACCCAGTGGCACCCCCTCAACCCCCACCCTGAGCACTCTCCTTTCCAGGGCCAACTGCTCTTGGTCATCTCTGAATGTGACCATGTCTGATTGGCCAAGGAAGGGCCATGTCCATCTTGAGTTACCAGGTGGTCTCAAACAATAGAGGCATCTCCATAGATGTTTTGTCAAACTTTAAGTAATTGGATTTTCTTTTTCATAATGATGTCATTCATATTTTTGACCACTACACATTCTACCCCACCCCATCCTATCACCCATACCTAGAAATTGTATTGTGAAGAAGGAGGACTTCATTGAGCAAGTGTTCTTTGAATAGCTCAGTAGGCTAGGGGAATGAGAGCAGGCATAGGTTACGGTGAGGAGTAGTGGAAGAGGGTTCTATCTTGTCAGCCCAGCACCTGGCATGTGAACTTGACATGTTGATTTTCTTGACTCTACAATTCTGGGTTGTACCATGAGCTTTCCTTTTTCAGAGCCTTATGCTTCTGAGCCTCCACAAATAACATCTTTGGACTATTTGGTGGCATCACAGTGCTCTCCAGCAGACTGCCTGTCTTCTGTATTCTGTTCATGAAGCACTTTATTTGCATCTCTCTTAAGGGATATAGAATGTTCTGTCTGATTTCTCTCTCTCTCTCTCTCTCTCTCTCTCACACACACACACACATTCCCTGTACCGTAACCCCATATTCTTGCTTTCCAGAGCACCTATTAGACAATTCTGTGTGTCTCTTTATTTGAGAGGCATTGAATATAGAGATTTAACACCTAGATTCTGAGCCAGGCTGCCTGGATTTGAATTCTGGTGCTGCTACTTCCTAACTATGGGAGCCTGGACAAATTACCTAACTGCTGTGGGCCTCAGCTTCTTCATCTGTAAAATAAGGATTATAATAATGCCTATTCATAGGACTGTTATGAAGACTAACTGAGATTTTCTCTTCCCCACTGAAATGTGAACTCACAGGCTGGGACTTATTGAATGAATGAATGAATGCCTGGTGTTTTGGGGGCACTTTATCACAGGATTTTATCTTCATACCACTCCTAGGTAGAAGCACCAAACTGTGTTTCTTGGAGAGCACCTCACTTCACAGACAAGCCCCAGATACCTCTGTGTGAACTTCTGTCCTCACACCATTCATTGAAGCATAGGGTCTGGGGATTGAGCACCCTCATTTCCCAACCCAAAGACCAGGTGAAGGGTGGGCACCACCTATGGCTAACAAATGCATTTTAGGTAAAGAATATCTAATTGTAAATTTGGGAAATAAATGGAGAAACAGGAATGTAGTTAGGATAGTTCCCCCCTGAAAAAACCCACTACCATTGAGTCAATTCCAACTCATAGCGACCCCCACTGAGTTTCCGAGGTGGTAAATCTTTATGGAAGTAGATTGCCCAGTCTTGCTTCCATAGTTAGGCTAGTTAGGATATTAAATGGATTTGTGGCACAGTCATTAAGTGCTCAGCTGCTAACCAAAAGGTCAGTGGTTCAAATCCACCAGCCAATCTAAGGGAGAAAGATGAGGCAGATTGGTTCCGTAAAGATATACAGCCTTAGAAACTTTTGGGGCAGTTAGTTGCATTCTGTCCTGCTGGGTTGCTATGAATTGGGATTGACTCAATGGCAATGAGTTTAAGGGGTTATTAAAATTTTATTGGGTGCACTGATGATATAGTGGTTTCTGCATGAGATTTACTTAGTTTTTAAAGACGCATACTGCAGTGTTTAGGAGTGAGATGTCATGATAGTTATAATTCAAAGCACTTTAGCAAAAATGAAAAACGAATAGATGAGGCAAATGTGGCAAAGTGTTAGAGATAGATAGCTGCTGTCAAGTTGACTCTGACTCAGCAGCAGAATGAAACAGTGCCCGGTCCTGTGTCAGCCTGATTGTTGCTGACATGTTTGAGTCCAGCATTGTGGGTATTGTCCCAATCTATCTCACTGAAGGTCTCCCTTCCCTAAATAGGCCTTCTTCTTCACCAAACACAATATCCTCTTCTAGCAATTAATTGATTCCTCCTGATAACATGTCCATAGCAGGTGAGTCGGACTATGGTTTTGTTGTGATCCATAGGATTTTCATTGGCTAATTTTCAGACGGAGATTGCTAGGCCTTACTTCCTAGTCTGACTTAGCCTGGAAGTTCTGCTGTAACCTGCTCACCATAGGTAACTGGTAATTGACATACTGGTGGCATAGCTTCCAGCATCCCAGCAACACACAAGCCATCACAATAAGCCACACTGACAAACAGTGGTGGTGGCAAAGTGTTGACAATTGCTAAATCCAGGTGATGGAAATACATAAAGTAATTATAATATTCCCATCACTTTTTAAGCTTTTTATTGTGATTTGAGAAAAAGTTTATGGAGAAAATTGGTTTTCCATTCAGCTGTTCATACATGTTATGTTTCAGTTTCCTCTACTTTTCTGTGAAGTTTTTCATAATAAAAAGTCAAATGGGTGGATGGATGGATGAACGGACGGATGGACTGATGGGCCTGATCGTCCACAGTAGGCATGAGTGGGCCAATGATGCTGCTGCACTTGTGTGGGTTACTCATGAGGCCCAAGAGCCTCTCTGTGAAAGAGAAGAGTGACTGGTTTTCCCTTCCTATGTGCAGGATCCACCTGGAGGACCTGAGTCCGAGTGTGGTGCTGCACATGACGGAGAAGCTGGGCTTCAAGAACAGTGACGTGATCAACACCGTGCTCTCCAACCGCGCCTGCCACATCCTTGCCATCTACTTCCTCTTAAACAAGAAACTGGAGCGCTACCTGTCTGGGGTGAGGGGACCCTTGTGGTGGTTCTCTGTGCTGTTTTGGGAAAAAAAAGTACTGTTCCATTCAAAGTGTTTCTCAGTTGCTGACACTTGATCCTGAGCTGTTAGCTTCACCATGTGTGAGGCTGCATTTCCTGAATGTGGGATAAAATAGTAACAAAACTTACTTTTCAGGTAGCACCTTTTACCTGACGTGTTTTTAAAATATTCTCTCAGACTTAAGTCCTTGGCAGAATTGTGTTTCAAACTCTTTTCCCTTCAGCTTGTCTGTTAACCTTTTTGTTTTGCTACCTCTGAATTCCTTGAGTCCTCATGCATTAGACATGGGGGACTTCTGTGGCTACTTCTGAGTCCCTTAGTGGTACAGACAGTTAACATGCTTTGCTGCTAACCTAAAGCTCGGAGGTTGGCATCTACCCAGAGGAACCACAGAAGAAAGGTCTGGCTATCTACTGATAAATCAGCTATTGAAAACCCTATGCCTCATTTACTCTGAGGCCAGAAGAACTAGATGGTGCCCAACTACCACTACTGACCATTCTGATTAGGGTTGCAATAAATGGACCTACCTAGAACAGGAGAAAAACATGGAACAGAACTCAAATTCCTAAAAACTCCAGCCTTACCATACCAGTGGAGACTGGAAGACCCCTTGAGACTATTCCCCTGAGCTACTCTTTATACTTTGAACTGAAACTATCCCCTGAAGTCGCATTTTAGCATGACAGATTGGCACACAAAATAAAGGATATTACCCATGATTATACGGGGCTCCATTAAAAAACCATCTATATGAGACCAAAATGTCAACAATTACTCTAGAGCAAAGATGAGAAGACAAAGGGGGAAGGAAAACTAGAGTATTGGAAATGAAACAACCAGAATGCAATTAAAGAGAATGTTGGCACTGTAAAAAAATGTAACTGATGTCACTGAACAACTTGTATAGAAATTATCAAATTGGAACCTAGTTTTTTTGTGTAAACTTTCACCTAAAATATAATAAAATATTACTTAAAAAAAAAAAAAAAAAGACAAGGAAACCCTGTGGGCACAATCTTACTGTGACACACATGGGGTCACCATGAGTCAGAATCAACTCAACAGCAACTAGTTAACTGGTGGCCATTAAAGTTAGAGGAGCAGTGTCTCTTAGGCATTCATCTTTCTTTATAAGAAAGGCTCCATTTACATGTTCTTCTTATTCAGAAAGCACTGGTGGTGCAGTAGTTAAGTGCTTGCTGCTAATCAAAAAGTCATTGGATTGAAGCCACTAGCCCATCCACAGGAGAAAGATGTGGCAGTCTGCTTCCATAAAAATTTAAAGCTTTGTAAATCCAAGAGGGGGCAATTCTACCCTGCTGTGAAGGTTGCTATGAGTCAGAATCAATTCAATGGTAGTGGGTTTTGTTTTGTTTGGGTCTTATCCAGAAAATAAGACTGAGGTTAAGTTTTATTAGTTTAACCATGTCACCTTCAGTCAGTCTGTGAGTTGGAAAGTCCCAGTGCCCTGTGTCATTTATGAGGTACAGTTGGGAGAGCTATGGTTTAGGGTGGAGAGTGGTGCCCTGACACCCTGGTCACTTCATTGTTTGGCCACAAGCAATTTATATGTGCTTGGGTCAGAGACTTTATATACTTTTGTAGCTAGTTTTGACTAAATCATCTCTGTCTACATGGACAATGGTTCTAAAAGTATGTGCATTTTTGTTTCTCTGCTTTGCCCAGCATCAAGGTTTCATTGTTGTAAAGCTGAGCATGCTTTCTCTACTGAAAACATTCTCAGAAACTCAGCTGATACAGTTCCACTAGAGGTTTTATTATTATTATTATTGTGCCTGTTTCACACTTCACCCTTAAATCATGGGACATACATTATCTGAGGCGGTGGTGGTTCATTGCCTTCCGTGTGGGAGACCTGGTTTGATTCCCAGCCTGTGCACCTCATGTGCAGCCACTACTTGTCTGTCTATGAAGGCTGTGTGTTGCTACAATGCTAAACAAGTTTCAGGAGAGCTTACAGACTAAGACTAGGAAGAAAGGCCTGGTGATCTACTTCTGAAAACCAGCCAATGAAAACCACCACTATCTGAATCACCAGTGATCAAGGGGATGGTAGAGGACTTCACAGTGTTTTGCTCTATTGTGCATGGACTCACCGTGAGTTGAGGGCCAACTTGATAGCAGCAAACAACAGCAGTATTGTCTGAGAGGCAGCATCTAGGAGAGTGGCTGTTTCTAACGGGAGTCAGCTAACCCCTATAGACAATTGCAGCTGGTCCACTCAGTGGTTTTCAGACTAGCTAATTTAATTGCACTGTGTGCACCATCCCAGTTATTAATCTTATCAACCAGTTACTAACAACCCATGTATAATTCTGAAACCCAAACTAGTGAATTAAAAAAAGTACAATGTTGTGCCTTAATGAGTTGTCCATTTCTCTCTTTTTCTTTTGATTCTGGTTTCTTCTTCCTAAAAGCATAAAGGATGTGTTCTAAGTTGGAGAGGCTATGAGGGCATTCAGTGAATACTTGTGGGTTGATTAATTAATTAATCTGCCATTTAATTTCACCAGTCTCCAGACAAGATTGCACCTACATTATCTTAGGTGTAATTGTCAATCTTCTTGAAGGTATATTATGATTATGGCTGTTTGACATTTTTTTGGCTAGGGATGTTTTAAACAAAGAAGATAAATATCCTATTTAGTAGTTCAATAAAATGGACTATTCTTCCTGGTTCACCTGTCATCTTACCATAGTGGTTTCTGCTCTCATGTCTAAGAAGAATCTGCATTGCACTCATGAACGAAGGGATTGAGGCAGTGGCCTGCCCAGGGTCACAGGGCCTTTGCTTAGCAGAGGCTGTAGTAGAAGTAGGTTGCCTGACACTGGGCCCGGCTCTCTGCATCCTGCCTGTAGGCAGTCCTGGGATGAGGATTTGCATGGCAATTAATGGACTTGCCAACCATTTTCGGCACTTTCTCAGCCAAGCACACAGCTTCTGGTTTAAAAATTAACGACTGCATGATGGACATTTCTATTTCCTGAGAGTTAAGCTATGATTTTTTCTTTCCGTTTCTTTTCTTCTCTGGCAGAAATCTGACATCCAGGACAGTGTCTGCTACAAGACCCAACTCTACCAGATAGAAAAGTGCAGGGCTACCAAGGAGCCCTATGAGGTGGGTGATGGTTGAAGCAAAGCCAAGATCTCCTAGGAGATATTTCCATTGTGGGGGAGGAAGGAAAGGAAATGGTTTATTGTGGGACACAGAAGTAGGAGAAGACAAATACTGGCTGTCTTAGATTCATAGGGCCTCTATAACAGAAATCACAAGTGAGTGGCTTTAAAGAACAGAAATTTACTTTCTAATAGTTCTATAGCCTAAAAGTCCATATCAGGATCTCAGCCATGTTGATTCCTACTGTGAGTGTGTCTCCTAGTTCTCTGATGCTTGCTTGTGATCCTTGGTGTTCTTTGGCTCATAGACAACCCTCACATGTTATCGTCTTCCCGTGTGTGTATGTGTGTGTGTCTGTGTCTATTCTGATCTTTTTGTAACTCAGACATGATTAGGTTTAGGCTTCACCCTGCACTAGTATGACCTCAGCTGATTGAACATATTACACTAGATTGCATAGATGGTCACTACATTACTTGTAAAGTAATTACATTAGGTTATATTATGGAAGTAATCTGCTCTACCCAATACCAACTGATGTAATCACATGACAGCAGCTAGACTAGTATTTGGCCAAATCACTGGGAACCATAGCCTGCCAAGGTGACACATAAGATTAATCATCACACTCACATAACTGAGCCCTTGAGAAAGGGTTTACAGCAGAGCCATCATCTTTCAGGTGCCAAACCATAGTTCTCAATTGTAGCCACATGTTAGAATTCCCTGGGAGCACTGCAACATCTGGATGCCCATATTCAGACTGAATCTCAGGGAATAGGCCTTGGGCATCAGTATTTTTTTAAAGCTCCTGGTTGATTCCAGTGAGCACTCAACATTGAAAACCACTGTGTGATCTCTAAGAGGCCAAAAAAAAATAAAGCACAAAAATGTAAATGAATATAATGCTTGGCATCAGGAGAGAAGTAAAACAGAGGGATGGAAAAAAAATATTGGATGAAGACAAATTTTCTAGTCTACTATTCTAGGTGTTGTGGATTGACTTGTGTTTTCTCAAAAGAGATATTAAAGTTGTAACTCCCAGGAGACAGGTAGGACACTATGTGAGGCTGCAGCTGCAAGCCAAGAAATGCTTGGAGTTACCAGAAACTAGGAGAGAGGCATGGAACAGATTCTCCCTCAAATGGAATCAACACAGCTGATAACTTTGATACCCTAATTTGGACTTCTAGCCACCAGAAGTCTGAGACAATAAATTTGTGGTATTGTGTTACAGCAGCCCTAGGAAATTAATACATATGGTTATGTGATATTACCTAGAAAATACCTGAGAGAAAAATACTGAGGTTCTCTGATTTCAGAGTAAAAATTAAGTATCATCTGGAAAATTGTCACAAATATGGACCCCCAAATATATGTTTGTAAAGAGATAGTGCCTCTGACTTCCAGGTCCAGGGCTAGGGGAACAAGAGTGAAGGATGCACCTCCAGATTCCTCACTCACCTATCTTTCAAGTGGAGCTCCTCATTCTCCTATTTGTGGTATATTCTTGTCAGAGTGGCACTAGTTAACCAGAACATCCTCCTCAGTGACTTTTCTAGGAACCCCACTTCCGTTTCTCCTCTGGAGCCTCTACCATGTCCCTCCACTTTCCCTGCCACAAAAACCTTTTCTGGGATACCCAGAATTCCTTCTTTTGAGTAGAGATCAAAAAGGGACTCTTCCTCCTTGGTGTGCATGAGGTGATGGGCCTGTCCACTCCACTCTTTGCTTCTCTTATTTAAAGTTTTCATCCTGATTCTCAACCAGGAATGCCACCATCTGTCTTAGTTTCCTAGTGCTGCTGAATACAAATACTGCAAGTGAGTGGCTTTAACGAACAGAAATTTATTTTCTTGAAGTTCTGTAGGCTAAAAGTCCAAATCAGGGTATCGGCTGGGTCAAGTCATTCCTTGTCAGTAGCTCTGGATGTTCCTTGGTTCTTGGTGTTCCTTACATGGGTCTGTCTTCTCTGATATATGTGTACATGTCTCTGTGATTAGGTGCAGGAGCCACCCTACACTGGTATGACCTCAATGAATCAGTTGATTTGTTACACTAAATTGCATTATGGAAGGTCCTTACATTCCATTATATTGTATCCACAGGTATAAATAAAAGTTAGGATTCTGTCATGGATTGAATTTTGTCCACCCCCAATTTGTGTCAACTTGGCTGGGCCATGATTCTCAGTAGTTTAGAAATTATGTAATGATGTAATGTGGCAGATACGTAATGATACTCCATGATGTGATTTGATGTGATAAACCAATCAAGTATAAAAGCACCCTTAGTCATATCACAGCCCTGAGCTGATGTAAGGGGAGCTTCCCTGGGGTGTGTCTGCAACATCTTTTACAAGTGATAAAAGGAGAGAGAAGCAAGCAGAGAAGAGGGACCTACTACTCCCAAGAAAGAGGAGCCAGGAACAGAGTGTACCCTTTGGACCCAGAGTCCCTGTGCTGGGACCCTCCTAGGAACAAGAGACAGAGAAAGCCTTCCCCTAGGATCAGCACTCTGAGCTCAGACTTCTGGCCTCCTAAACTGTAAGAGAATAAATTTCTGTTTGCTAAAAGCCATGCATTTGTGGTACTTCTGTTATAGCAGCACTAGAGAACTAAGACAGAATTTAACACATATTTTAGGGGGACGCAATTCAATTTAGAATGCATGGAATTCTCCTGGCTTTCTCTGGAGGGTGGCCTGCAGAGAAGCAGCGGGTAGTAACTGAGCTCTGTAGTGGGCTCCAAGGCAGCAACTGAAAGCTTGTGAGAATTGTTCCAGGCCTGATCTTATAATGCAAGACTAACATAGGTGTGAGCTGTGGGGTGCCACCTGTGAACATGACAAAGGCATGATAAAGGGTGTTGGGGCAAGTGGAGAATGGCATGGCTGGCCATTCTAGACAGACCCCGAGGAATGGCTCCAATATGAGGAGGCAGAGGAAGGGGAGATGTTGATGACAGAAAAGTTGATGAAGAACCCAAGGATGGCCAGGAGGGTGCAGGAGATCCAGGGGGAAATGATGCCATTCTGCCCATCCCCAGTACCTGGTAACAACTAATCTACATCATGCCTCTGTCTCCATGCATTTGTCTAGATATTTCATACAAGTGATCCTTTTATGGAGTCCTTGGGTGTGCAAATGGTTAATGTGCTTGGTTGCTAACCAAAAGGTTGGAGGTTTGAGTTCATGTAGAGGTGGCTCAAGATAGGCCTGGTGATCAACTTCCCGAAAATTCATTGTTGAAAACCCTCTGGAGCATAATTCTACTCTGACACACATGGGGTCACCATTAGTCAGGGTCAACTCCATGGTAACTAGTTGCTTTGTTTGGTTTATTGCATTTAGCATGTTTTCAATATCCATCCATGTTGTAGCATGTATCAGTACTTTATTCCTTTTTATGGCTGAATAATATTCCACTATACAGATACCCTCATTTTGTTTATCCATTTATCTGTAGCCCTTCTTGACTCCCACCTTCTTATCACCCTCAGAGCCAAACCATCACCAAATTCCGTGACTCCTAAACCTGTCTTGAGCCACCCCCATCACCACCACCTGCGCTCTGGCCCCAGCCATCATCACCTCCTGTGTTAACCACTGCCACAGCCTCCTAATATCCCTCTTAGCTTCCCCAGTGGCTGCCATTCTAGACACAGGTATAGGAGCTAGGATTCCACTCTCCATCCCTACAGCAGCCAGTGTAAGTTTAGCACACTCCAATCAGATCATGTCATTTCCCTCCTTGAAACCTTCAGAGGCTTCTTTCATATGAACACAAACTCTGTTACATGGCACCCTGCATGACTGGGCTCCTGCTTGCCTCTCTAGCCTCATCTCATGCAGCTCCTGATCCCACTAACAACACACAACTTTGCGTCTTGCTTTGTGCTCAATCTCACAGGCTCTAGGGCTGGCTGTGCTCCCTCTGCGCGCCAGGCTTGTGCACAGGCTGTTCCCTCTTTGGTGAATGTTCTTTCTGTCTCTTTGACAAGTTAATGCCTATGCATCTTCAGATCCTGAAGCCAGGCCCGTGCCCTTCCCTCATCTCTACTGTTAGGTTACATCCCTCCAGTACAGGCTATTACACGTCATTCTGCATTTTGGAGCTTGTCTCGCCTACTATTTTAGTTTCTTTCGGGATTAGTTGACTGATGCCTCTTCCCCTCTCTGGACTTGTATAAGAGCAGGAACTGTGTCCCTTTTACTCTTCACAGTACCCTAGTGCATAGTTGTTGTTAGATGCCATCAAGTTGGCACTGACTCCTGGTGACCTTATGTATAACAGAACTAAATGTTGTCTAGTCCTGTGTCATCTTCATGATTGTGGGCATGTGTAAGACAACACTCCAAATCTGCTTAATGCTGACAGATTGTACTCAATCTCTAGATAGCCAGTAGACCATTAGAAAAAGGGCACCAATAACTAACATGGATTGCTCCATAAACATCTTGCCCTTCCAATAAGAGCCTAAATCTATGTTAGCATATGGAAAGCAGCTTTTATTCTTTACAAGAATCAGACAGCATACAACAGGAAAAGTTCCATCAAGAGCAGTATCCCCCTCAAAAGCTGTCTGGGTAGAGATGTCAGCTGTTTCTTGTACACCATACTTTGTGTCATGAATGAGGGGTGTAAATGGAACCATACTTACTGCCAGTCCCTTCCTGGTCAGGTGCACCTGAATCATCGAAGTGACATTTTTGCTTTTGAACACCTTAAAGCAGTTGATTGCAGCAGATTTTCTCAATGCAATACATCATCTGATTGACTCCTTCCTTAGGGCCTCAATAGTACAAACTCAATAGTACATTGAGTGCCGCTGTGTCTGTGTCCTGAGTTACTTCTAAGCCACTCTGCTGACATTTGTGTCCACAGCTGCCCTTGGGCTCAGGCCTCTGTGGTGTGTGTCAGAAGGTGCCAGAACTGTGCCTTAGGCCATTTTTCTCACCGAGACTATTTTTCTCTGATGATTACTTCTCTTGGCCTGAAAACACATGCTGCGTACTTTAAACATTTGTTGAAATATTTAATGGTTAGGGTTTAAATAGGAACACTAATGGGAAAAACAAGATTTCAATTTTCTATGATCCATTTGTTCTCTCCAAACTGCAGCAATATTTTTTGCTAATTAAATTATAGGCTATGACTAGATTATCCAACTTGTCTCCTTTGAAACCTAGAAAGTGGAATAGAGCCAGTTAGAAAACATGCTAAGAAGTGTGAAAGAGCCCAAGTTTTATAAGTAAAGCCCTCTCAGAGCCTCTGTGGGTTTTGCTATTGTCATCAGCTGGTCCCTGAGGAGGAGCTGCCAAGATATGGAGATGGGGTTGGCTCAGAAGGTGAGTGATAAACAGGAATTTCAGGTTGTTGCTGATTTGGCTGTAGAATGGCCCATGGTCCATGTCTATCAGGAAGGTCATGGAGCTGTGTCCCATGCCCTGAGTCCAAGCAATGGCTTCTTTGTCCTCCTTAATTCCAGTTCTTTTTTTTCTAGGAGACAAAGGAGCTGAATTAGGTTGAAAAACCCTCCTCTGGGGATTACAGTGTTGTGATTTTACAACTTTATCATTTTCTCTACCTCTTCTTCCTGCACAAGGCAGAGCATATATCTGTGAAAGTGGGGCACATACCTCATTTAAGAACACCTAGACATCTGAGCCAAGGGGGTCCTCTTCTTATAACAGGGGCCCTCAAGGACTGCGGGGGTTAAGGAAGGGCAGTCATAATTTCAAAACTGGCTTATTAAAGTCAGAGTCCCTTGAGTGGTGCAAAGAGTTAACACACTTGCTAACTAAAAGGTTGGAAGTTCAGCTCTACCCAGAGGCACCTTGGAGGAAGGGCCTGGCAGTCTGCTTCTGAAAACTCAGCCACTGAAAACCCTATAGAGCGCAGATCTATTCTGATACACATGGGACTGACATGAGTCCAGGTCAGCTTGACTGCAAGTTTTTCATTAATGTCTTTAAAAAATATTGCTAATGTGTAGAAAAATGGGAAATAGAACTCAGAGGTGTTCTCTGTGGTGACAAAGTGATATTGCTGTTTTGGAAGAAAAATTGTGCAGAGCGTGGCAGGGGAACTGTATGTTTTATGGTATATGTTCACATTATGTCTTATTTAAAAATCTAGGCAACTTTAGATGAAATTTGAAATCAGGCAAAACTAATCTGTGTTGTTAAACATCAGAATGGCCATTACCTTTGAGGATGGGGGGGCTGGGAGAGGACAGGGTGCAGGGCAGGCTTTGTTTCTTCATCTGGCTGCTCTTACCATGGGTTTTGCTATTACCATGGGTTGTGCTATTTGTGAGAACACATTGAGCTGCTTATTCATTATGAGTGCACTCTTCTGTGTCTTAAACTCCAATTAAGTATCTTTGTATTAGTTTTCTAGGGCTGCTGTAACAACAACAAAAACCCATACAGATATGGCAAATATATGAACTGAAATTTATTATCCCATACTTCTGGAAGCTAGAAGTCCAAGTCAGCATATCAGCCATGTTGACTCCTTCTGGGGCTCTGAGAGAGACTCTGTTCCATGCCTCTCTACTAGCTTCTAGTAGTAGCACCAAGCGTTCCTTGGCTTGTAGGTACATCTTCACATGGTGTCCTTCGTTTGTCTCCATGTCTCTCTGTCTCTCCTCTTTTATAAAGACCCTAGTCACATAAGATTAAGACCCACCTTACTTCTGTATGACCTAATGTTAACCTAACTGATGGCGTCTTCAAAGACCCTAATTCCAAATAAGGTCACATTCATTGGTACAGGGATTAGGACTTCAGCATATCTTTTTGGAGGACATAATTCAATCCATAACAGTTTTAAGCATCAATAAAAGTTACTCTGAAAGTCTTTTCAATGCATAAATTAGGACATCTGCTGCCTGTCTCCATGACTCTTTAGGAGTTTGGTTTCTTGTCTGTAAACATTGAAAAGGAAATTGGCAACCAAAGCTGCAGAGGAGGTAGTAGGATATGGAGTGTAGCTTCCTAAATTTTTTTTTTTTTTTTTAAATGCTGCTTTTCACAGGCCTCCCTGGACACCTGGACAAGAGACCTCGAATTCCATGCTGTGCAGGTAAGAACAAAGGGAATTATGATCCTCTGCCCAGGGCGTCCATGCTCACCAAACCTTCCCCCTGAACCAGAACTAAAGCTTGCAGATTCCTGCTTGGGGCTGGGTCTACCAAGTGCCACACTGTCTTCCAGCTGGTGCTTTCTATGTTCAATTGACCGTGTTTTGTTGTAACTACACAGCCTGGCTATGCATTTGTGTTTCTACCTGTATAAGAAATGGAGTTTGCCCCAGAGATTCTAGGCTCACTGGCCTTTATGAGCCAAACATCCTTTTCTCAACTTATTGTTGTTTTTTTTCTGCTGAAAAATCAGACCTCTGTGGCTTCCCATTAAGGAGCTCTGGTGGTGCAGTGGTTAAGGCATTTGGCTGCTAACCAAAAGGTCAGTGATTCAAACCCACTAGCCACTCCATGGGAGAAAGATGAGGCAGTCTTCTTCTGTAAAGACTTATAGCCTTGGAAATCCAGTGGGAGCCACTATGAGTTGGAACCAACTCGACAGCAGTGAGTTTGGTTTGGTTTGATGGGTTCCCTTTATGCAGTGGGCAACAAGGATCCAAAACCCATGGGCAAACAATCCCTGGGCTTCTGGGCCATCTAGCTTGCATGATTGGTACCTGATTTCCCTCTGGCAGTCAAGTAAAGGGTCATTCATCATCAAGAGGACATCACATTCCAGAGAAACCCATGATGGACTTAGAGTTATGCAAAGAAAACAGCTCTGCTCATCTCAAGTGCCCAGGGCTCCCCTATTGCTAGACTCTCCAGTAGTCAGAAATTCAGTGCATGAGGGGAAACACAAATACATGGATGGCAGATTTTCCTGCAGCCTGGGGTGACAGCAGGGGCAGCAGTATCTGTTCTTAATTCATTTGCTGCTCAGGAGATGAGGCAGGTGAGATGTGGAGTCCATTTTATACTCAAAGAGCTGGGAAGGACTCATCCTTTTGGTTGCAAATAAGGAAACACTGCCCTCGAGGGGAAGTGACTTGCATAGGATTCCTTTCCCCTGTGAGTTACTGAAAGAGCCAGGAATAGGTTCCAGATTTCCAGACTGCCAAGCTCCAAACATGACCGGTTTCACTGGTGCATCACCCAGCAAAACAAAGCGAAGAACAAAGGAGGAGAAAGTGTGGTTATTTGGAGCATAAGAGTCTGGAGTTACTCTTCTGTACTGGCTTGGATGAGTTGGAGGCCCTATACCTGGGGATGAGCACCCCCAGCTCAGACCCTATAGGGAGAGGACCACCTCTGGAAATTGCAGACATCTCCCTCCAGAAGCCCTGTGGATCATCACTGTCTTCACCTACCAGGGCTGCTGTAACAAAATACCTTAAAGAACAGGAATTTGTTGCCTGAGTTCTGGAGGCTAGAAGTCCAAATCAGGGCATTGACCATGTTGATTCTCTCTGAGGGCTCTGAGAGAACCTGTTCCATGTCTCTCCCCAAGATTCTATGAGCTCCCACAAACCTTGACATTCCTTGGCTTTTAGCTGTCCTCCACCATCATATTGCCTTCCTTCCTGTCTTCATGTCTGTTCTCCTCTTTCATAAGGATGCCACTCAAATAGGATTAGAACCCACTCTCATGTTCACTGATAACATGATCCTCTTTCCAAACAAGATCCTCTTGATCCTTTCAAAGGATCCTTCAGGATCCTTTCACAGGTACCAGGGGTTAGGACTTCAAGACATCTTGTTGGAGGATACAATTCAATTCCATAAGTCACCCACTGCCTTTTCCCTCCCTTCAGCCAAAATAATGCACAATATTAGAAGAGTCTTAATAGATAATCTTTCATGGGCCCATATTTGCAGAATGTCCAGGTTTGCATCCAAACGCCCATGCTAATTTGCAATTGGTAAAAAATGGTTTAAAGAAAACCAGAACTCATTTATATATGGTTTACAATCTCAGCCTTATGTGAACACTTCTCTGATCTGCTTTGAGAGGGGCAGGACTGTTCCCTGAGCATGCAAACAGAAGTTCCTTGAACAAAGAGAGTCTGAATTCCATGATCTGGCCTCAGAGGCCTGTGGGGGAGGGGGAGAGCCTTAGGGAGGAGGTGGTGTCAGGAACGTTAAAGAGGCCTATAGACAGCCAACTGCTGGTGGAGATTGCAGGAGGCTACATCTAGAAGGGGGAATGTAATTAGTCCCTCTGAAAATCTTTTTCTGTTACATAAGGCAATTTAGCACCCTGTTTCTTAGGAAATTTCTTTTGAGAAAATAGGCCATGCAAATGAAAAGGTATAATTGGATGATGGGTTTATACATTTTGTAGCATGTACTTAGAGGCCAATGAGGTTGGCTGACTGCAAACAAACCTGGAGACTCCTGACCCTTCTCAAAGGAACTAACCCAGTGAGGGTACCATCAGGGAGCAGTTGTGTGGTACATTCTTGGCATCACCCTAGAGACAGGTTACTGGGAAATCACCTAGTCTTTTAGGCTAGAGAAGGAAATTCTGGGGGATTTTGGAGGGAACACTAGTGTGCAGGATCCTGGAATTGAGTTCAACAAGGATGGCCTTAGCAGAATTTTTTGGAATTTTCACTCACCCTTTTTCCTGCCCCAAAGCTGGCTTTCATTTCATTGCCATCACTTTTTCGTTACAGTAGAGATTTCCAGAGCCAACCCTGGCCTCTTTCCATAGAAAACTCTCATGTCTAGTGCACCTCTTGGTGCTAATAAACTCTATCTGGGTAGTGACACTGGCCAGAAATTTTGCACCTCGATCCTTTAGCTTTTGAGAGCCCAAAGAAGGGCTGGAAAGGAGAGAAATAACCTATAAGCTTTCCTGTCAGCCCTCTAAGTGTAGGTGTCAATGGTAGCAAAAAGGCAGAACTGCAGTTTTATTTTTTTCTTCTAAATATTGTTTTATAAATTAAGACAAAAGTGCATTTTTCCCCCTGTTCAAGGTGTTCACAGCTAGAATTGATGAGTTTTGTGATGAGTTTCTGCCTTAGAGAAGGTGGACTGTTAGGGTTTCATGGAAACAGAGATGGAAGTGGTGGAAAATTGTGATTGTTCTCTGGGGGTCTTGGCCAAGACAATCTGGACCACATAGCCTCCTCCACAGCATCCTGGATAACAGCCTGGGACTCAGGGCCTCCTCCACACCATCCCCAGTGGCAACCCGGACCACACAGCTTCCCCTGTAGTATCCCAAATATTGTCTCAGGAGCCTTATGAATACAATGTAGTCACTGCTTCTGCCTCAGCTACTGTATCCCAGCATTTCTTCCTTGCAACCACTGGGATTGTCCCTGCTCTGCCTTCAAGAAGGCAGTATTGACTCATAGGTTAAGAAATCACCTTCAAGGCTATGATATTCTGAGTTTTGACTGGGCTCGAGAGTGAATTACTTAACCCCTGCAAGCTGTTTCCTTGCCTAGAAAAGAAGATATTAGATAAAAGAACATACCTACTTAGGTATGTTCTTAGTGTGAGGCCTTCCACTCCATGTGTCCTTAGTAAAGGATCATGGAAGCTGTTTTGATTCTGAGAAAGGAGTTTATGGAAGCTTGTCCTCTCTTTTCTTCCCACCTCACACCTCCATTGAGGATGAACCACATCAGCTAAGTGTTAGACCTCCAACAGGCTCATGCCCTTTGTGGTGAGGCTCAGGGCTTGGCCTCCCCCTCTCATTTACCCCTGTCCTCTCCCACTCAAAATCTGGACAAAATGAACCCCAATTCAATAGAGGCTTTGAAAAGCCTCACTTGAAAAGGCTAGAAAAGAGCAAGAGGATGTTTTCTTGAGAAGCTTTTCAACAACATAAATGAAAAATAGATGAACTTTCTTGAATTGCAAATGCTTTTCAAGTTTAAGGCAAACATATGAACATCTCTTTTTTCTCACCCACAGGAAGGTCAGGGATTTGGTTGCCTCTGTTTAACAATAAACATCAAACATGGTCTTTAGAGCCAGGAAAAGAACTTCTTCTTAGTGGCATCACCCTTCCCAGAAGTTTGAACTCAATTAATTTAATTCAGTTCAGTTTCTACTGGCATTTTTTTTTTTTTTTTTTCCATTTCAATAACTGTTTAGTAAGCTTCCTCAAAGTATCTGGCTTTATTCCAGAGGCTGTGGGATTGAAGATACGTAAAATAGTCAGTTTTACTCCCATCAGAGGATTGTAATCAATAAAGGCAAGACTTACAGCAAAAAGGGCTAAATATGTGCCACTTTGAAGCAATAGCTAAGTGTTCACATGATTAAGGGATGGAGGAAAGCCAGTATTCAGTATGCTTAGGATGATGGCTTTTTGCCCACATTGTGTTGACCACTTTCTTGGCTTGACTGGGTAAACAAGAATTGATGTTAAGCTGGGAGCAATTACATTTAAAGTTGCCTTTTTGCAAAGCCACTATTATGGGAAGATTTTTAGGGCACTATGTTAAATGCAGACAGTAGAATTCCAGAAGTCCCCATCTGCTTGGCCTTCACTCCTGTGGCTTGTTCCAGAATAATTGACCTCCTAAGTTTAAATTGTGATGATGGCAAAGAATACTGGATATACCATGGACTGTCTGAACAAACAGATCAGTCTTAGAAGAAATAAATCCAGAGTGCTCCTTATAAGCAAGGATGGCGAGACTTCATCTCACTTACTTTGGCCACATCATTAGGAAAGATCAATTGCTACAAAAGAACATCGTGTTTGGGAAAGTAGAGTCAGTGAAACATGAGAAAGATTGACACAGTAGCCACCACAATGGGTTCAAACATACCAACGGTCATGAAGATGGTTCAGGACCAGGCAACCTTTCGTTCTGTTATACATAAGGTTGCCTTGAGTCAGAGCTGACTTGACAGCAACTAACAACAGCAGAGACCTTGGAATAGTACAGTTCAAGTAAGCTGGTACTAACAAAGCTTGCTTGCTGCCCAGCTGGTCCTTGGCTCTTCCATCAGTCATCATAGTCAAGAGTGTAGAGTTTTGAAAAGCTGGAGATTCTCTAGTCCACTTAGTTCATTTTTAAAGAGAAATCACATTGTGTGTATATATATATATATATATATATATATATATATATATATTTTTTTTTTGGTCACACCCAAGAGACATAATATTCATGCCATAATATTACCATGCCAAATCAAAACCCCACTGCCATGGAATCGATTCTGACTCATAGCAACCCCCATTGGGTTTCCAAGGCTATACATCTTTACAGACGTAAATTGCTTCATCTGCAGCTGGGGGGTTTGAACCACCAAGCTTCAGGCTAGCAACCAAAAGCCTCATCCAGTATGCTACCAGAGCTCCTTACCATACCAAAGAATAATGATGTTAACTCAATAATACCATTAACTCTTCAAATGTTACTTAGTTTTCCCCTAAATGTCTTACATAACTTTTTTAAAAAATCTAAGAACCAAAACATAAAAAGGTGGAGGGCAGTTCTAGATTAAAAGAGACTAAAGAGATAGGTGATCAGACATTGTATATTGTTTGTGTCTGAATATTTTTATGTTTTTTCCCCATTTGAAGGACAAAAAGTCCAAAGAACAGGAAAAAAGAGGAGATTTTCTTCATTGGCCTTTTTCCAAGAAATTAGACAAGAACCTGCCCTCACACAAACAGGCCAATGGCTCGCTCATCACACAGATCCAGGGCACCAAAGCACTACTGAGGGACCGGAAGGCCTCCAAGCCCAGTTTCCCGGACAAAGGTGGGTGACCTCATAGGCCACACATGTTGAGCTAAATGTCTGCTGTGCACATCTCTCAGGGGGTGACCTCAAGAAGAAGACTAATTCTTGTGCTGAATGGGAAGGCAGAGTTAATAAACCTGAGGCAACCTGAGAGCAATCCAGGGCCCAACTGTGTGTATTGATCATCTGTATAGGAAGTATTGGAAAAAGGACAGATGGGGGTGATTGTAGTATAGGGGCAGAGATTAGGGTACACAGTACTGTGGGAGCAGAGTGAGGTGTATGGGATTTTTGGAACAGGAATCAAGTGCATGGTATTCTGAGAACAGAGATTGGGGTGAAAGTTGGAGGTTTGAGTCTACCCTGATGCACCTTGGAAGAAAGGGCTGGCAATCTGCTTCCATAAAAAATCAGCTCTGTGGAGCACAGTTCTACTCTGAGATACATGGGGTCTCCATGAGTCAGTATTAACTTGACAATTGGTTTAGTTTGTGTATTTATATATGAAAGCTAGGAAGATTCCCAGTGCCCCTGGCTGCACCTGAAACCACTCCTGATGGGCCACAGCTGGCTCCTGCAGCAATGCCTGCAGAAAAAAAGATAGCAAAATAGAGTTTGTACCATATAAATTTGGCTTTATTTCCCCTGACACCAAATGTATGTAGTTTTTCTCTTTCTTTTCTGGCACAGTTTGCAAGCCTGGTTTCCAGCCTGTGCCAACTTGAGATCTAAACCTTGGAGACTGGCTCATTGACTTAAGCATATAGAAGAAAAGTGTTCTTTCCCAATGCAGAATTGTATGAGGCTCTGGTCAGATCAAAGTCATGAGGGAAATGCTCAGTCCAGGTTGGGAGAGCTTGGTGCTTGGTGTCCTCTGAAGGACTGTATTGATTGCCCATCAAGTGTGTTCATCTTATTTATTCACAGGCCCTTTGGCAGGATCCAGAATTTTAAGCAACCCAAAGAGAAATTGATGTTAAGTTGATGTATTAGTTTCTTAGTGCTGCTGTAACACAAACACCACAATTGTGTCTCTTTAAGAAACAAGTTTAGTTTCTCACAGTTAGGAAAGCTAGAAATGTGAATTCAGAGCTCTGGCTCTAGAGGAAGGCTTTCTGTCTGTGTCAGCTCCATGGGAAGGTCCTTGTGCCTTTTTTAGCTTCTGTTCCTCAGTTTCTTGGTGATTGTCATGTGGCATGGCATCTATCTCTCCCATCTGTGCTGAGTTCTGTGCCTACTCTTCTTTTTATATCTCAAAAAGGAGGCTTCGTGATGCCATGGTTAAGTCCTTAGCTGCTAGGTAAAAGGTCAGTGGTGGGAAGCCATCAGCCACTCTGCAGAAGAAAGGCCTGGCAATCTGCTCCCATAAAGATTTATAGCCTTGGAAACCCTACAGGGCAGTTCTACTCTATCCTTTAGGGTTGGATAGGGTTGGAATCAACTCAATGGCACACAGCAACATACATCAAAAGTGATTGGTTTAAGACATACCCTACATGCATATGACCTTGTTAACATAACCAAAAAATATCTGTTACCAAATGGGATTACATCCACAGGTATAAGAATTAGGATTCCAACAAACACTTTTGGGGGACACAATTTAATTCATAGTAGTTGGTGTCACACGATATATGAGAACCAAGGAGACCTCTGTTTCCAAATTTCTGTCCATTGCATTCTAGAAAAACTATACAGGCCTTTGGGGCAGATGCTACTGCTGACCCCTCTGATGTGGTCGCCAAGGTCATCTTCTTTCTTGTTCCTCTGCCCTCCACTGGGTAACACAGTGTGTCCACACAGCTGGTGCTGAGAGCAGGCAGGAGAGAAGTGTTGTGCACACCATTTATGTAGCTGTTCTCATGCTTTCATTTGCTTTCTTGCTTATAGATTCCTTTGGCTGCCGCAGTATTTTCCGCAAAGCCTCTGATTCCAATTGCGTGGCTTCTTCTTCCATGGAGTTCATTCCCGTCCCGCCTCCCAGGACCCCCAGAATTATAAAGAAACTGGAGCCCCATCAGCAAGGGCCTGGAAGCACTGGTGTCACTCCCAAAGAGGACCCCCTGATGCTGGATATGGTCCGCTCCTTTGAGTCTGTTGACCGCGATGACCCCACAGAACTGCTTTCCCCATCTCATCACTATAGGATCCTAAACTCACCCGTGAACTTTGCTCGCAGAAATTCCAGTGAGAGAACACTCTCCCTGGTCCTGCCACCTGGAAGCACATCACCTGTCCACACTCCTTTGCACCCCACTCTGGTCTCTTTTGCTCATGAAGACAAAAACAGCCCTCCCAAAGAGGAGAGTGTGTGCTCCCCACCCCCAGTTCCCAGTAGCACCACCACACAGCCTTTGGGGAGCCCAAATTGTATGAAAAGCCGTGGCAGGTTCCCCATGATGGGCATTGGGCAGATGTTGAGGAAGCGGCATCAGAGCCTGCAGCCTTCAGTGGACAGACTCCTGGAGGCCAGCTTGCCCCCACTGCAGCCCCTGGCCCCTGTGAGCCTCTCCTTTGACATGGCTGATGGTGTCAAAGGCCAGTGTTAATCTGGGCCCACAGTATTCTTGGTCTGTTGAAGGAAGGCATTGGGCTCTATACAGCCATCAGGGCCTGAAGATCCAGAGGCCTCCCTGGAGTATCTATCATCCATGGCCTCATCTCCTGCCAGCCCATGTGTCTGTTCCAACTTTGGAATAGCTGAAATCCAGACCCAAAGCCTATACAATCAAACCTCTCAAGGAATCCCCAGAGATGCTGTTAACCTAACCACTAGGAGAGCTGGCTACTAATGCAGCCAATTTCAATTATTCAGACCCTCCTTCCACCCATCTGCTCACCAAACCCCACTTCCTTCTGCTGGGCTTAGGGGTTGTTGTTTTTGTTGTTAGCTATGGCCTGTGACTCATGGTGACCCCTGGCACAATGGCATGAAAAGCTACGGAGTCCTACGCCATTCCATGATCAGTCGCATAAGAATTTCATTGGCTGATTTTTGGAAATAGATTCCTAGGCCTTTCATCTAGTCCATCTTAGTCTGGAAGCTCTGCTGAAACCTGTTTAGCAGCATAGCAACACAGAAGCCTCCACTGACAAACAGGTGATGTCTGCACATGAGGTGCACTGGCCAGGAATTGAACCTGGGTCTTCTTCATGGAAAGCAAGAATTCTGCCACTGAACCACCATTGCCTCTGGCCTGGGGGTGAAAACCAGGAATTAGCCACTCGTCTTGGCCACTCATATCACACAGACTGTTACGAGATCTTCCTTTACTTCATGTTATGTGTGTACTTCTTGGTGGAATGTTCTGTTTTCAGCATTAGGACCAACAGCTTACCGAAGTCGGTCATCTACCAATACACTTGCAGCCCCATGTTTTCCTCTGCAGGGTGAAGCAGCTCTTCTCTCTGGAGCAGGGAATCCCTGCAGGCCAGCAGGAGCTGGCATGCTAGAGCTGCACAGCCCCACAGCCTCAGAAGAGGAAGACAGAGGAGCCTTTACACTCAGCTGCCAGCCATCCTCACTCTGAGTGGGAAGAGCAGTTGGATGAAGGTTGATCCCCAAACAGTGGGGACCCCACTGAAAAAAAGGACAGAAGAGAGCACTCATTTCCTAAGCAAGTTTTTGACCTTTTTTTTTGATCGAAACTAGCTAATGGTTGAATTATCTTCTCCAGAGAGATTTTTCTTTAAGCGATATCATTGAATAAAAATAACATAACTTTTAAAAATGTAAATGGAGATGGGGGTAGTTCCACCAAACTCACATTTTCATGAGAGGATACAGCATGAAGTGAGTAGACACTTGCTCGGGGGGCGGGGGGGATGTTTGTAGTGGCTGTTGGACCATGGTGGCCTGCAGGAGGGGCACAATCATAGTCAGCTCTGTGTTCACCCTCTGTTGTCCCAGCATAGCCTAGATCCTTCTGGAAGGCGTAGAGCATGGTTATAGTTGGGTCTTTAGAAAGAGAGAAAAGGATGGTTAAAGCTGAATTTGAATGTGAAGAAAGCAACATTACCTCTGTGGAGCGCAGTTATCAAGCTATCAAGCTAACAAGTGTGATTGAGTGCTCAACTCATTTTGTCTGAGCTGTGAGCAGGCTTGCCTGCTGGGAAGCATGTTCAAAACGTAGTGCAGTTTCTTCTTCGAGGAAGTAGTGTTTCACAAACAGGGTTTTAGTCCATGTTGTGTGTCCACACCTTTTGCCAAGGATCAAACCAAAGATGCATCTCTGGTTTTGTGTCTGTTTTATCCCTATATGCACGTTTTGTGGACTGTGGTGTTGTCTGACCTTGTTCAGCTGGAGTCTGAAGGGAGCTCTCTCCATGTGGGGCCTAGGCCCTGGCACTTGTTAGAGAGCATTTAGTCATGACAGGATTGAAAAAGGAGAATAATTGGCACAGGTTGGATGCATTCAGGAGATGGGTTACAAGATGGTTTGGAGTCTTCCAATTTTGACTATTGCAGATGTGACCAGAAACCACCACTGTGGACACACTAGGGTGACCAGAAACCACCACCATGACATGCTGGGGTAATATTCTCAACTTGCTGATTCCAAAACAGGTCAAGACCTTTGAACATTGCCAAGCCTGGCTTCATTTCTACTGATAGCCAGACTTTGCCACACAGCTGCCAGGTGCTTCTTCATAATTTCCTCATTTACCTAGTGGTGACTTCCTTTGGCCCCACAAGTCACTGACCAAGTGAGAAGAGAGTGAATATTTGGCGGACCACTGAAGCCCCTGAAACGCCCCAGTCTTGGCTGACCTTGACAAGACCTGGAGCTGCTTCTCACCTCTTGAAGAGGTCACCCTACCTCTAGGGTCCAGTGAGAGGAGGTCAGTTCCTGGCTGTAGGTATTCTTCTTTATGGCTTCAGACTAGCTTCCAGAACTTTAAATTAAAAACAGAGCTTTGTAAGCAGAGGGAAGAAAGGAATCATCTAGAAAAGACCTTTCTCTCTATTTGACAATGAAGTGTTTGATTTTTAGATCCAGTGACGGAACTTCACAGATGACTTCCAGCTGCAGCTTTCCAGTCTGCAAGTCTGCAATAGGTGTACCTGTCCCTGTGTGTTGTGAACTCTTTTTAGCCCTCAATATTTTTTTCTTGTATTTTACTTTCCTTGAGGACATGAGTGTTTTTGTGTCACTGTTAGCTTGAAAGAATGTTTCCCATTCCTCATGTGCTTCAAGAACACCTGCAGATTGTACAACTAACTGACCACATCACAATTGGTAACTTGAACTCTGAACTCAGGTTTATTCTGAACCCAGTAAGAGGTGAGGCAGAGTGAGGAAGGGGAAGCAAGTGTTTTTGTATGTGAGTACCTGACAAATCTATGAAATTGAGTAAAAGAAGAAATGTTGAATTCTTGATTATTTTATTATATTTATACAAAAACTTGACTGCCCCTTTGGTAAATACAAAATGTGTTGTCTGTGTGACCCATGACTGGTTTTCATCAGTCCACTGTGCCTGTGATTTCAATTAGCCTGGAGTTATGGACAGAAATGACTGAACCGTCATGTGGCATACGGAAGGAAAAGTTGATTTTAATTGTATGATTTGGACATCAGTAAGGACTATATTTATGTCACTATTATTAAATATATGTACTTTTATAATGACTGTGAAATATACTTTTCCCCTACTATGACTGTATCATTTATTTACTGAGAAATCATAAAACAGAGTGCATTGCAGGTGGTAGTACCATCTCCTATATAAAGTTCTTGGTCCAGCAATTGATTGGTGTTGTAGAACAAAATCATGGAGTATGCTTATTAGAGTAAAAGCAAAAGAAGTTAATTGAGGGATGGAGAAATTTTGCAAATTAGGGCAGCACAGAGCAACCAGGCAGTTATCAAGTGTTCCAGTTTGCTGGCACTGAGGAGAAATATTTATAGTTGAAAAGCTGGAACTTTTCAGCAAAATTCTGATTGGTTGACCCTCCCTGGACATGTTCAGACTTACCTAGGCATAATCAGGTTCTTGCAGCAACTGTTTTCTTGGACCCTGCCTGGGCTTCTCTAAGCATAGCTACGTTGCTAGTTCAGGAAATTGTTGAATTTAGTACAAAGATTATAGCTTTAAATCAGAAACAGGAGTGCAAACAAAATGACATTTAGTTTGTCCTTGCATCAGCCATTTTATGATGCCAAGCGCCCTAGATTTTGAAGTGCCCTTATGCACTTTAAGTAGAAATGGAACCTGGAACAAAATGGAGTCTACAGATCTGAAATAAAAGTCCAGTTCAACCCTCAGTCAGTCATTTCTGTGTATGCCGAATCCCTCACTTTTAAAATACTCTTACACATCTTACAAAATTGAGTTTGGCATAACTCTTATCTTAGCCGTCCAGAGACTATCAAATGCCTTAGATTTTAAATACTCCTACATACTGGACACAAATGGGAATTGAGTTGTAAGGTATTTGAATGTCTCCCTACTTCATAAGGAGCTCTGGTGGTGCAGTGCCTAAAGCATTTAACTACTAACCAGAAGATTGGTGGTTCAAATCCACCAGCCACTCCATGAAAGGAAGACTAGGCAATCTACTTCTGTAAAGATTTACCACCTTGGAAACCCAATAGGGGTCATTATGAGTTGGAATTGACTCGATGGCAATGGGTTTGGTTTTTTCATTTGCCCTACTTCATTCCACTTAAAACAGGGAAATCTACAAAAGTACTTTTCACTGACACACTGAAAATGGGAGTGTGGGGGTCAAGATCTCCCATGGAGACTCTAAAAATGGTGCAAGAAGTCATCTATGACCATTATTTCTATATTTTGTCCCTAGTTTTGGTCTTGGTCAGTGTATTAGTTCACTAAGCCATAACAAAATACCACAAATTAGGTGGCTTACGTAAACAGAAATTTATCATCTCACAGTTTGGAGGCTACAGGACCAAATCAATGTATTGGTCAGGCCATGCCCTCTCTGAAGTCTCTAGAAGATCAAGCTTCTGGTAGCCCCAGGCATACCTTTGCTTGTAGGTGAATCTTTACATGGTCCTCCCTCTGTCTGTCTCTCTGTACCTTTCTTTAATAAGGACACCACTCAGATTGCATCAGGGCCCACCCTACTATAGTATGACCAGTTAAGTACAACTTAACTGATAACATCTTCAAAGACCCTATTTCTCAACAAGGTTACATTCACAGACACTGGGGGTTGGAATTTCAGCATATCTTTTGGGGGGCATTATTCTATCCATAACAGTTGAAGAAGGGGAAAGAGAGCTGATAGGATATCAAGGGGGTGCATCTAGGTTGCCTGTTTGGATTGTCCCAGTTTCCACCTCATTCATAAGTATTTACAAAAAGTTATGGTGTACAGCACTTTGCTTAAACGTTCGTGTCCCCCTGTACATGAGGGAATAAGAACTCAGAGGATGGTATGGCTAAAAAATGGAGAGGTTCACTCCATTCCACTAAGCTCTCTGAAGTCTAATAGAAAGAATGAGTGTCTAGTTTTGATGATGCTGTTTTGTTTAGGTATCACATTTTAGAACAGGAAGAGACCTAAGATGATGTAGCT